GTAGAATCAATTCCGACCGGTAAAATCTTCGTAGAAAATAGTCAAATCGTGTATAATAGTCATATCTATAACATACCAAAAGTTGTGCGATGAAAGTTGTGTCAAATCCAAATCAGGTCAAAAGTTCGACTACGAAAACACAAAACAATGCACAACTCGGTCAAAACTCAATATCTCTGAAAACAGAAATAGGATTCGGAGTCCTTACCACGAGATCTACACTTTCTCCAACAGCAGCGTCGGACGAAAAGCGCTCCGCGGCCTCCAAAACCAAGCTTTTCCTCTTTTCCCTTTCTCTTTCTCTCTCCTCAAATTAGATATTTTATTTTAAAATGATTTTCTCTCTCCTCAAAACGAGCTGATTTGCTTAAATCATAAAGCTGATCGGCCCGGACGATCAGACCAAAATCATCGGCCTGGACGGTTCCCAGAACTATTTTCAGGACGATATTTTGAACAGTACAGATCGGCCTGGACGATTTCAATATCGTCCCGGACGATCCTGGGAGGAAAATCCAAGTCAGAGAGGAACAGTAAGGGAACGAGGTCTCACATTTTTAGTTCAATAAATGAACTAAAAACAGCTCATAATGAGCTAACTTTTAGCTCAAAATATTAATGAGCTAGCAAGTCCAAGGGAAGTCAAAACCCAAAATTTAGGATTTAGTTTGACCCCCCTGCCTACATCAGAAACTAAAGAACACCTCTATCAAATCAATACATACTATTTTCAAGGACAATTTTATGAATTTATTGGAAACAAGGGAAACCTCGATTTCATTGAGTTTGGAATAGAGTTATTTGGCAATGCAATTTGTATACCCTAATAAAGCCTATAATAAAGAAGGCTATGTTTATCCCTTCATAAATAAAAATTACTTACCTCATAAAATTGAGTAACCAAATCTAACACCCCTTAATCGCAATACTTAACAATTTTTGCCGAATACTACACTGAAAGTCCTAATAACAAAAGTTCTAAATCAATACAACATCAAGTCTTTATCCCATTATGTGGAGTCGGCTACATGAATCCTTTCTCCATTGTGTCATGTTAAAAGTTAAATTCTCATTTAAATCTAATAAAGAAAGGTCATTTCTAATATTTTCTAGAAGTCTTTTTAGGTCTACCTTCACTCTTCTTAACATAAGTCAAATCTAATACATCTACTTTCCTAAACGGGTTATTGGAAGGCTGTCGTTTTATGTGACCAAACCATCTAAGACGATTCTCTCTAATCTTATCTTCTACTGGATCTACTCCAACATTTTCACATATAAGCTCATTTTGTATTATGTCTCCAAGAGTAAAGCCACTCATCCACCTACGCATCCTCATCTCTGCAACACTTAACTTAATATTATGCTTCTCTTTTGATGGCCAACATTATGCACCATAAAGCATTATAAGTCTAACCACCATCTTATAGAATTTTTCCTGAAGTTTGAGGGGGACTTTTCCATCACACAAGTCCGATGCATTCCTCCACTTCAACCATCCAACTTGAATACTACTAATTATCCCCATCTATTTCACCATCACTCTAAACAATAGACCCAAGATATCTAAAACGTGTACTCTAATTAATGACTTGATCACCCAAAATCACAATCTCCCCACTAGAACTATTATTACTAAAATTATATTCCATATCTTTAGTTTTAGATCTACTCAAATGAAAGCCTTTAAAGTCTAATGTTGACATCCATAATTCAAGTTTACCTTCAACTCCCTCTCTAGTCTTATCAACAAGAAGAATATCATCAGCAAAAAGCATACACCAGGGTACAACTTCTTGCAAATGTCTAGTGAGAACATCCATGACTAAAGCAAAAAGATATGTTCTTAAGGCTGATCCTCGATGTAATCCAATTGAAATAGGAAAATACTTGGTCAAACCCCCTTATGTCTGGACACAAGTAACAGCTCATGTATACATATCCTTGATGACTTGAATGTAAGCATTATTATCCTCTTTTTTTCTCGGACTCTCCATAAAAGTTCTAAATCAATAACTTAAATATAATATACAACTAAACGCATGATCTAACTGCATAAGCTATAGCTATTCAAGAATTAACTTAAAAAGGAATTTGAATCATCATTTGAAAGAAATCTAATAACTTTAACTTACCAATAAAATAGTGAATGGGAAATAAAAGTTCAAGTAGCAAAGAGATGGCTACGCAGAAGAATTGATGCCAAAGTTACGATAAGGAATGAAGGAGATATATATATATATATATATATATATATATATATATAATTTAATGAAGGAGAAATATATGACAATTGTAATGCGGTCGACCAAGTCGAGGAACCCTTTAAGGAAAATGTAAAAATGTTGTCGTAGTTGACTGAAACTTGAAATCAATGAAGAAAATAAATCAGGAAGAAGTGACGATGTTGTTAGGATAGTTTCAATTGTCAGGATAGAAAAAAAAAAAGAGGATATGGTGGTGTCTCTAAGGTTGTAAGATTTCATTGTCAAGGTCGGATGGCAGTTGGGGTCATGGTTTGGAGAAACAAGAGATGGAAGTGGGGTTGTGCTCTGCAGCTCATACAAACACGAATGATGGCGTTCATGTTGGATGTTGAAAGAGGGTGAAGGGCTCAAGGATCTACCCCTATAGTAGAAATGAGGGAGAGAGTTTCAATTGATGAAATCCTACACTAATCCTTCTTAAATGTTGCCTATATTCTGCTTAAAAAAGTATTTGGTTGGGTCAAGGTGAGGGAATATGGCCAATTAAGAACTCAGTTCACTATACTCTACCCTCCTTTTTAAATAGTTTGCCCCCCTAAAGTCATACCTTAGTTATTAAATTGTTGAGGATATTTCACAAGCATATTTTCTTTAATATATCATGTTGTTTCTAGTTCCGAATAATTCATAAAACATATCCTATTGAATGGAATATATTGACAATGATGCTTTCAAACTTCTCAATCCAAAATATGCTCTATTATCTTTTTATAGCTCATCTCCCTAAATAACTAGTAGCTTTTGCTGAATAATATCAGGGTCATCATACACATAATGCCATAATAAAGTGAGGTAAAAATATTTTATACTCTTACAAGTTCGTTGGAAGAGTGAATCAATATGAAACTCTATAACTCTCTTAGTCACCTAAAATGGACATGAATTAGGATTGTAGCTTTTTTACTTAAAATTTTTTTTGACTCTATACAGACATGAAACCTTGAGAACAATATATTCTCTCAAACTCGATCTTTTTATGCTTAGAGTTAAAATAACTCATTAGCAGTTACTCTAGTTATGCTAATAAAAACCCCACCATTTTAAATTTATTAGTACATTTGAACACGACATGCAATCAAGGCTTCCTTAATCTAACCCCTATTTCTTTTATTTCCATGACCTTTCTCTGTATTATTGGCGTATATTTCGATCATGCATGCTTAGATGATTTAAATCAATTTTTTTATCAATCATATCAACAAGAGTAACTATTGCCTGTCTCTCTGACGTAATTTTTTTATAATTTGACCGTGCTTCAATAGATGCTTCTCTTCAAGATTTCCCCGTCTTCTTTTAAGATGCTTAGCACATAAATGGCCTTCTTATTATTTTGTAGATTCCCCCAACCAGTGTGCCAGTCATCATCCGAGAGTATGAAAGAGATCAGTTAGTCTTCTAAAATACCATTTTTTGGCTGCAATTTTGGGCCTTGAGGTTTCAAATTTTCACTTTGGTCTCACGTTTTTCCTTGAATGAAATGAAACTCCACTTAATGCATTATTAGTCTTGCGTGACGCAAGATTAGGTTGATGGTATATTTTACATTTTTGCTTTGAAATACTGATCCACCATGCATGCTAAGGCTTTGTTTGGGACGGCTTTCTTTATGCTTCTTAAAACAATTTTTTAGTACAAAAATTTTTAATCTTGTACTAAAAAACTGTTTTAAGAAGCAGAAAAAAAGCAGTCCAAACGAAGCCTAAATATTCATAGTGGTTAAAATTTATGCTGACTTGACACCGTGAAGAGTGCTGTTGTTTGCCTCTCCGGGTACTTTAAGGAAAACTTTTTCTTGTAATGAAATGCTGAAATTTTTCTCCCTTGATCAGTATATTGTGAAAGAACTATTCATTCCAGTAAAGGTTGTCAACACTGCTTCCTTTTATCATATTGGATATGCTTGTGAATTTCATTGCTCGAGCATAAGTAATTGAACAGTGCTTGTACTTGGATACTCCAGATCTATGTTAAATTTAATATTCACATTCTAACCTACTTGCAGAATTTACCGTGTAATGCCAGTGGTTACTTCCATGCTAACGGGCTATTTTGTTCAGTGTTGTTTGGAGGTTAGTAGTATCTGTCAAGTATTGTGTTTAGTTCAGTGCTATTTTATTTAAGGATAGTAGTATTTTCAGTATTGTGAAGTGTTAAAATATTTAGATGTTGAGCATCTCTAGATGTCTGCAATTTTGACTGAGATTTAAATGTCATTGAATTAGAGCATAACAGTCATTTATAAATTTATTATGTCAACAAATAAAACAACTGCCATCTCTTAGTAAAATGAATATTTCTTACGAATGATATAACATTAGAGAAAAAGGTTAAAATGATCCATGGATTTTTTTTTATGAGGTCATTTAGGCTTCGTTTGGGATAGCTTTCTTACTGTTTCTTAAAGCTGCTTTCTAGCATAAAAATTTTGATTTTTTACTTTAAAACTGCTTTAAGTAGTAGGAAAGTAATCCCAAGCAAAATCTTAATCTTAAATTATAAATGCATTCAATTTAGTTAACTTCTCTAATATGAAGTAAAGTAATTCATTTGTTGGATTATTTTGAATCAGATTTAAAGAGTTATGAGTCGAGGAATTAAATTAGGCACAGAAGATAATCTAAGATAAAAATTAGTTGAGAAATCTTTCTAACCTTCTTCTCTATAACATTGAGATGTTAGTGAACCAAATAACATCTAAATTCAAATGAAATGATGTAACATTAAGATGCCAATACACTACGGCCCTAAGTTCACAATATACACAAAATACAAAATTAATGACAAGCAATGTGTTTGGTCTCCCCTGCAACTTCCCAGGGTTAGAGCATTCAATATCCGTGTACCAGGTGTATGAAAGTAAATGATGTGGACCCGTGTGTCATTTGATCCTAGTAAAATCTTTCCTTTACTTCTGTTCGGTGTTACATCAATGTATGTTACTACTGCTTGCACATTCACCTGTGTGCAAATGTTGAGAGGGAAAACGAGCATTTTATAAATTCTGAACGGGGTAAAAATAGGGAGATTGGGTAAGATTAAGCTGCCAGACCGAGAGTACTTCATATTCTTTAACATCTTTGTCTCCTACCTCATTGAATCTCTGAGTTTCTGAGCCATGGTGGGTATGGACCACCTTAAAATAGCCATTGGAGGCTCAAAACTCATAAAAATCAGTCCAGAGACAGTGCATTACATTAAACAACAGTGACAAAATATCACCATAAAAGCAGCTCTCGATAAGGCCGCTGATTTTGGAAAAATTATTGCGTCCTCCCACCTGACGTAGAGATGCGTCCTCCCAGAACTAAAATCGCACTAAAAAACGAGAAATACCAAGCAAATACCGAGCAATACCAAACAATAACGAGGAATATCATCATGTGAAGACCAATACCGAGTTATACCGAGCTATACCGAACAATACCGAGCAATACAAAAAAATACCTAGTTTTTCCTAGAGAAAACTCGGTATGTGCTCGGTATTGCTCGGTATAACTCGGTATTGGTCTTCACATGATGATATTCCTCGTTATTACCAAATAATACCTAGCAATACCAAGCAAAAACCGAGTTTTTAGGCGGTGGGAGGACGCATCTCTACGTCAGGTGGGAGGATGCAATAATTTTTCCTAATTTTGGCCGTTCTAAACAATTTTATGTGGTCATCTTAAGCCTATGTGCTTTTCTCATCAGTAATCATGCTTTTCATGCACATGAACCAGTGTTCTAGGTCTCATATTTAGGTTTCTGTTTGGGATAGTTTTTTATCTGTTTATTAAAGTAGTTTTTTAATATAAATATTTTTGTACTAAAAAGCTTTTTTAGAAGCAGTAATAAAGCCATCTCAAATGAAAACTTAGGCTTCGTTTGGGACGGCTTTTTTACTACTTCTTAAAGTAATTTTCTAATAAAAATTTTGATTTTTTTTATTGAAAAGATGCTTTAAGAAGCAGTAAAATAACTGTCTCAAACGAAACCTTAATATGCTCGATAGTCAATTTGTAGATTTTTTACCTGCTCTTACAACTTAGCCAGCTTGGAAATTTGCTGGACGTTGTATATCACGTGAAAAATCAAGTTGATGGTCAGCCATTTTTTGCTTGATTAATTTCTTATGTGAAAGTACATTAAGTACAATTAGTAAAACTTTATTTTTTGAGTATTATTTGGATTATGCATCTTCTCTGAGCAATGCTTAATAAAGCTGTTATTGTGAGAGCTTAACTATTTGTATAAACGACTATGCCCCGGGGCACGAATTTTTATTGCGTCCTTCCACCTGACGTAGAGATACATCCTCCCAGAGCTAAATTCGCACTAAAAAAAGAGAAATACCGAGCAAATACCGAGCAATACCAAACAATAACGAGGAATATCATCATGTGAAGACCAATACCGAGCAATACTGAGCTATACCGAGCAATACAAAAAAATACCTAGTTTTTCCTAGAAAAAACTCGGTATTTTTTTGTATTGCTCGGTATAGCTCGGTATTGGTCTTTACATGATGATATTCCTCGTTATTATCAAATAATACCTAGCAATACCGAGCAAAAACCGAGTTTTTTGGCAGTGGGAGGACGTATCTCTACGTCAGGTGGGAGGACGCAATAAAAATTCCCGGGGCACGCGATGCTTGCTCGTGCATTGGAAACCGTGTGCAAGTTATTTTTTATTAACGACTCTCTTTGTTGAAGTCAATTATAAAAGAAAAAAATTGATGAACTTATGGACCATTGGGCCCCCAGTCAATCAATGTTTTATCCGCCGATGTTTAGCTTGGTTTGTGAGCAAGTACGGTTGAAAACTTTTTAATCCATGCTTAATTCCCCTCGAGCGGCAACGCCTCTTAAATGGAGCCCAATCTAGTGCGGGTCAGGAGGTTTCTGGGGTGGGTGCTTCTTCTAGATCAGTTGAGAATTAGTTATGCCGTCAAGCGCTCTTTCGGGGGTGATAGCAGGTGGATTCCCAGTTCCAAAAAAAAAAAAAATTGAGAAAAAATAGTCCAATGAATCTAGATAATTAGGGATTGTATTAGGTGGTAGCAGAGAGATGAGGGAGATGGATTAAGGTTAAAAAAAGATATAAATAAATTTGAACCTCAACAAAGTAATAAGTTGGTGAAGCCACCAAAAAATAAATAAATAAATAAATAAATAAATAAAAAGTTGGTGAAGCCACCAAGCTAACAACCTTCACTTGTTTTCTCTTAATAGAATCATAATCCACATATTATAACAAGTACTAAAAAAATATAGAATATATAACATCATTGTTGAATGTTGAAGCACTCTTTAAAGTTAATTTGCAAGAAGATAAAACATTACAATACTTCACTTGTTTTCCTTAAAATATTTTGTCTCATTTTTATTATCACAACATTTATTTTGTAATTTCTTATATTCAAAAAGTAAATTTTCAAATGTCAATAAAAAGTTCACCATAGATAGGTTCATATACCTCTTCTTAAGAGTTTAAATGTTAATGTGAGGGGAAAAGTGTGAACTTCTTTATTTCTTTTATCCATCTTCTTCATAACCAACTAAAACAAAAATTTTACGTTGTACCTTATTTTCTTTTCGCTTGACCTACTTCTTCATCTTCTTTTTATTCTTCTCATTTTTCATAGAAATATGTCAATATAAAATATCATTTTGTAATATATCGATATTTTCTTTAATATTTTCTTACAATTTGATTTTATTACAATATTTTCCTGTAATGGCCTACATGCATGCCTAAATACTTCTCATACTCATGATTTCACTCTACTCAAGTAGTCACTCTACTTTAGGTGGATGGAGAAGTTAATGTAGGTTTATGCTTAACATAGGTTATATTAATACAAATAAATTTATGCTAAGAGTACAAGTGTATAACTATCAAGCATAATGGTAATAATTAACTTAATTCAAAATCACAAGCATTTTTTTTTCTTCTTTAAGCAATATACAAAATTTAAGTATAATAATGATAGTGTTAATGCACAATCAATGTAAATCTAATATAGAGTATGATACTAATATTTTACTCTGCTCGGGTAAACACTCTTGCACTTTTTATGAATGGAGAAATTGATGTGATGTATATATGATTTTGCTAGTGAATGCAGTAAATTGATTAATGTCTTCGTGAAGTGATGGTGGAGAGTTATATGGATAGTAGAAAAAGAGCGAATATTTAGAGTTTTGGATATATTTTAGTAGGAAACTTTAAGGATTTGAAAGGATATTATTTTCTGTGAATTGGACTTTTGGCTAAGATATTCTTAGGTTAATGGGGAGTTGATGCATTGACAAGTTATTGGGGTTGTGGGGAATGCACATTAGAGTTTAGTTGTCTTTGGATTTAAAACATGTGAGAATGAAGTTAGAAATATTTAAATTTATGCTAAGAAAAGTGTAATTTATGATCCTCTCGACAAAATCTCTCTCTTCTGAAAGAAAAAGGATAACTTGGGCTGAATTTTTTGTGTGCATTAACAGTAGCAAGCCGGAGCTCATGCGCGGATTCCCGTTATTGTGAGGGTGGGCAAATGTCCACCCTAAAAAAATATTATAGTGGAGGGGTTTTTTCAAAATTTTGCCCCCCCCCCCCCCAATCATAAAAATTTTTTGTCCTAAATTTATCCATCTGGACCAGTTTGCCCGAATATTCGTTGTTCTCCTGTTCCCCTGTTCGCACTTCACAATGTCCTCACGAAACCCAGTTCATAGCCGCCTTGCCTTCGTGAAGACGTCGGACACCTGGAGCCCTCTCGTTTGCATTTGAAACCCACAACCTTCATCTTCGTGAAGAGGTCATCGTAGGCCCGCAACCCTCTCTTCATAGTTCGCAGTCGCCTGAAGGTAAGTTTTATATGTTTTAGCGCCTTCCTACTACTCCACTTGCTTTATTTCTTGCTTCTCTTTTTTCCTTATCTAGTTATCTACATCTTGAAACATTTCGATTTAGACTTTAGAGCAGGTGTTTTTTTTATGAGGTTTGTATA